TTCCTCCATTTCTTGTCCTCCCTTCCTTTCCTCTTCCTCTCTAGTCTCTCTTATCTTTCCCCTTTTACTTTCTCCCTATCCTTCTCTTTCCTACCTTAGCCAGTTTTTCTTTTTCTGCACTATCCCCTTTTTCCACCATGTCCTCCAGTCCCCTGCTCAATGCCCAAGAGCAGCCTCTTCTCTCTTTTCCCCTCACCTCGCCTCTCGTCTCTCTCCATGCGCGTGAGCTCATGCCCCCATTTCCACTGTGCCGTACCAATGAACCGCTCTGTTGTCCTCCAACAAATAAGCTGACATGGTAATGAATGGCTTCAGATGGTAATTAGTGATGGAGCTGCTAATAATGAAATTCATTTACATTTTAAGTACTGCAGAGGGAGCTGGGAGAGAAAGGCAGGGAGGGAGGGAGAGGCAGTCTGGGGCCTTTTCAACCCTCCCTTCTCTGCTTCCCCCGCTTCTACCCAGCCTGGCTGAGCTGAGGGTTGTTCTGTACCAATCAGTGTTACTGATGTGGAAACTATTTAACATGATTGCCTCCTCATCTTCCCCATTTAGGAAACTGTGTGAGGAGGGCTGGTTAAGCGGTGATTAGATGGTACACGCTGGCTTGGATTTAAATGCCCAATCAGAGGCACACAATGGAAGAGGCAGCCCGGCAGGGCTGGAAAAGAGCAGAATTAAGCAAAAATGTGTGCTAGCAAAGCTTCTGGCCAAACATCTCTGAGCCCATCCCCCACCCTACCTCCATACATACCCCCAGTTCTAATCCTGGAACAAATATCATGCCTCCCACCTCAGGAAAAAGGGGTACCTCACACCTTTCATACCTAAGGGAAGGGACAGCCTGAAAACCATGGGAAGCACAATCTATAAAGGGCTGCACAAAGACTTTCCCAGACTTTGATTCTCACCATGCAGGTGCACGTGTTTTAGAAGAGATGGAGAAGAGGACACGGCCACTGGGGGCCTTGCATGTGGTCCTCTACCTCTGCTCTTAGACCCTAATCTTAGATTACACCCATCAGACCTAGAAAGGGCCTCAAGATCATCTTATATAGTTCCATTTTATAGATGATGAAACTGAGGGCCAGAAAAAAAAGAAAAGCCTTGTCTAAAGTCAAATAGTTAGGGAGCCTAGAGGAGCCTAGACTAAAATTCAGGTCTCCTAACCAGCGTGGAAGAGTCCTTCTCATTGACCACCCCCACACTGTATATACAATACCTGTGACTGCCTGAGCTGGAGAAAAGAATTATTATGTGTTTTAAAATGAATGCCTTGTTTCCTGCTCTCTCCCAATTAGATTCTGAAGGGGAACAGTCTGTCTGTACTTGGGAAGTCAATAAAATGAGAAGGTTACCACTAGGATTTATTTATTTCCATTTCTCTGCACATCTCCATCAGAATAGCAAAAGAGAAGAGATAGGCTTAATGTGTAGCAAGAGGAGTAGAAGCTGGACATCAGGAAGAACCTCTCAAAGTAAACTGTACATTAACAACAATAGATCTGAACTTCACTGTAGGATCTCCTAGTGCCTAAGCTAAAGGCAGGTAACCCAAGGTGGTAGGTTGGGAAGGGGGGAGGGGAGGGCAGATGATTATGCCATTGATGCTTTAAATGGATGTTAGGGAGGATTTGGTTTTGTTTTGTTTTTCACTCAGTACCCATGTACTCTGGGGGGAGACTGGAGGACACAAGGTTCTCTCAAATTCTTGGATTTCCACCATTCAAGAGCTCACTGACAGGGAAGATGAGACACACCCAAGAGAAGACCTAGCACAGGCTAGAAACAAATTCAGCTTCTGGGTCAGCCAAAGCTACTGACTTGCCCCTATTTCTCAGGAAAGGAGGGAGAAACCTAAAGAAGTCAAAGATTGCAGTCAAGTAGCTGTGGTGAAGTTGAGGGGGAGACCTAAGAAATTGGGATGCACACCATGCAAGAGCTAACGGGGTCTCCTCAGGAGTGACCCCATGGAGAACATGTCCCCCTCTGTCCTTCAATTTTTGTGAAATTGCTTCCAGCAATCAGACAAAAGGGGTGAATTTATTTCACAACATTCTGGAAAGAGACAGGATAAGAGAAAGGGGGGGCAGAGATGGAAATTACAAGAACAGGATTTAGAAGAGACCTTGTAAAAATCACCTAGTCCAACCACCTCACTTTCCCAAGGAGGCCCAGAGACATGAAATTACTCACTCAAGGTCACCCCTATAGTAAATTGCAGAGCTGATATCCAGGATTCTTTCCACTCTACCTCATTGCCCATAAATAGATACAGACTGAGATAAACAGACAGAAACCGTGGTCCAGATAGAGAAGAAGACAGGGAGACAGATGCAAAAATAGAGACAAAGGGATAGGAGGAAAAGAGGGAAGGGAAGAAACAGAGAGGAGAGAGACAAATGGAGTGATTGAAAGACAGAGCCAGGCAATAAGTGCTGACATTTATACAGTACTCCAAAGTTTGCAGATTGCTTTACATTTGACAGAAAGACAGAGAGAGAGAGAGAGAGAGAGAGAGAGAGAGAGAGAGAGAGAGAGAGAGAGAGAGAGAGAAGAGAAATGGCATGGAAAAGAGAGGTTTTTTTAAAGAAAGGTGAGTTGGGGAGTGAGGGGCCAATGGGGTGGTGCAACCAGGAGAGGGGAAGGAAACAGGCAGGACTGTTATATAATGGAGTCAGGCCCTTGCAGAAGTGGCACGGTGAAGAGGGTCAGGTCCTATCACCATGACCAGCTTCCACACACCCCCACCAGAGTAAATAGGGCAGGGGAACTTGCACCTCAGTAAATGGATATTGATCCGATTTCCCCTCCAGGGGAGCCGTTTTTCTTCTTCCTGACTTAGCTGCAGAGGTCACTAGATTCCTTCCTTCCTTCCTGCTGCTCTGCCTTCATTGCAGCTTTCTAAATTCCCCTCTCCTTCCCAACCCTCCCCCCTTCCCCACCCAGGACAGAGAACAGATTTCTGACACTGGGTTTGGGTCACATCCCTATCTCAGCAGTGCTCCAGGCCCTAGCTGGGCAGGAGGGTGTGAAAATGGGGTTTCCTCTGCATGTTCATTCCTTCTGGGCTTTCTTCCCTCCTCTCTCCATCTGTCCCATTCCCTTCCCACTCTTTTCCTCTCTCCCTTCTTCCTGGTCTTTCCTACATGCAGAGAAATCATCCAATTTCCCTCCCTCATTTCTCTCTCCTTTCTTCCCTCAGAACCAAATGAAAGAAAGCTGGTCAGCTCTGTGTCCTCAGTCTCAGAGCTGGGCACCCTGAGGGAATGTTAATTCATCAAACAGAGCCTCCTTGAGGACTCAAGGTACTTCTCCCAGAACTGGGCTTCCCCCTTTTCGGTCTCATCTGCAGCCCTGAAGACAAATCCTCTGAATTCTACCCTATTGATCCCAGTGGTACAAACTGATCCCTAGGGCCAGCAGCCTCCTAAGCAAAACTGGGAAGTCAATAAGGCCAGCCAAGAAGGGAGGGAGGGAGGAAATAAGCATTTACATAGCACCTACTATGTGCCAGGCACCGGGCTATGTACTTTTTACAAATAGTATTTAATTTGCTCCTCCTTGATCACCTCCCACAAAAGTTCTTCTTGCCATCTCTTATGTGTGTCTTCCCTAGGAAGGGGCTATATGGTTCTCTGGACCTCTCTTTCCCCACTTCTTCCTTATCAAAATCTATAGGTGCTTGGAAAGATGGTAAGAAACTCACTCACGGGTTAATGGTTAATAAGGGTTTGAGTAGTTGGGGGACAGTGCTTAGTAACAGTGTGTAATGCCATAAGGAAAAGGTTACCTTAGAGCTGTGAGTTTTTTCATTCTGCCTCCAATGACCCTCTCCACCTTCTTAGACATTGGGAGTCTTCTTTATGTCTTTCCATAATTTCTCCAGCATTCCACAAGTCGTTCCAGTAACTAACACTCCAGGAGTCCGTCAGGGACGACCTGCTTGCTACCTGCTTGTTTCCTTTGCCAATTGCACATGACTTTGATGTCATCTTTTATGAAAGGAACAGTGATATTTCAGGTGGTGACGATATGGGGGATAAGGAGATCTTACAAGGATCTCTCATATCACTACACAAAGCCACAAGGTTGGGTTTAGGGTTACCCTTTCTGTCAGGTTCCCACTCTACAGAGAGCCAGTTTCTCAGGGACCGAGGATCCTCAGCATTTCTATAGCATTTTGAGCTTCCCTGGAAGATAAGCAGGCAGTGCCAGTACAAGTATGTCCGTTTCACAGATGAGGAAACTGAGGCTCAGAAAGATGAAGTGGTCAACCCAGCGTTAAACAGCTAACTGATGGAGCCAGGGATTCTGATTCCAAGCACAGCGAGACTGAAGCAAAGGGTTCGGGGCACTGGGTTCTTACAGTGATCAGCTGCACGAGCCTGGGCAAGTTGCTGCCCTCTCTGCCTAGCTTTGTAGCGCTTTGGCCCGCTTTTCCCTCGATTTCCCCTTCTGTCTTTGCTTTCCAGGGATGTGGGCGAGGGATGGATCAAAATCCCAGAGTGGAGAACTCTGGTCCCTAAGGAGCCTAGACGCTCCCATTAGTCTGTCTCCAACTTCCCCTCCCCCACCCACCCCCTTCCCCACAAGAATTGAGCTGGGAAGGAGGAGGTCGTCAGCTGGGTAGAGCCATCGTCGCTGCCTCGCCGCCTGCACTTTGCTGACGAGAGCAGATACTGTCCTTGAGCTAGAGAGAACTCGCCTGGGAACTGGGAGGGTTGCGAGTGGGGCTGGCTCGAGAAACAAGGGAACAGAGCTCCCTTCTAGGTCCTCTCCTGTCCCTGCCTTCGCTACCTCTCCCTTCCTGTCCCCTTCCCCTCTCCTCCAGCCCCTCTCCTTTATCCCCTCTCCCCAGGTGGGAACAAGTGCTGTCGGGACTCGGCTAGTGGGGGAGAGCTAGAGAAAGGGAGAGAAAACTCTAGATCTTGGGTTGGGGGAAGGGGGGAGGGGGAACGGCGGGGGCGGGACCAAGGCGGGGCCGAGGGAGGGACAGCTCCAGCGGTGAAAGAAGCTGGGCTCCTGGGTAGCCTCCAAGTCTCCAAAGAGGAGCCGGGCGGTTGTAGACCCGACATAGTCTGAGCCAGCTAGGAGCTAACGGTTTGGGAAGAAGGAGAGCAGAGAGACTTGTCCGCCCCGTCCGGCCCCGAGACTAAGCCTTTGAGAGGAGGCCCGGGGACACTTGCGTCCAGACGGTCCCCGCGGGCGCCCCTGCCCCGATCCGGGGGTGTCCAGGAGGGCGGAGAGATGCGGGTCCGGGGAGCCCTGCGGGCATCCTGTTGCGGCCAGGGCCCCCCCGGTGGCTAGGGCAGGCGACTGGCCCATGGAGGGCCCCAGCAGAATCGGCTTCTCCACGCTGCCCCCCGGCCGCGCATGGAGAACTTCAAGAAGGTGCGCACGGAGGACGCGGACACGGAGGCTGAGAGCCCCGGGCCCTTCGCCGACCTAGCTCCGGGCGCCGTGGAGATGAAGGTGAAGGAGGGCAGTAAGATCCGCAACTTGCTGGGCTTCGCCGCGGCGCGCATGGAGCAGCCGGCCACTCGCACCATAGTGTTTAGCGGCTGTGGCCGCGCCGTCACCAAGACCGTCACCTGCGTGGAAATTCTCAAGCGGCGGCTGGCCGGCCTGCACCAAGTCACCCGGTTGCGCTACCGGAGCTTAAGGGAGGTGTGGGAGAGCCGCCCGCCGCCGCCCGGCTGTCCGGGCCCCAGCCTCAGCGTGCACAAAAATGTGCCCGCCGTCTCCATTCTGCTCTCCAAGGACGCCCTGGACCCAGGGCAGCCTGGCTACCAGCCCCCAGAACCCCGGCCCGACGCGCAGACCTGGGCGCCGGCGCTGGCGCCAGCGTCACCTGCTGCCCCCGGACTGAAGAGGGGCCCTGGCTCGCCCGCAGCCGAGGAGAGGGCGAGTAAGAGGCTGCAGGGCCGCGGAAGGCCGGGCGCGGAGGGGGAGGGGAGCTGGGACGGTGCGGGCTGAGAACTCTTTGCTGCGGGAGTCACCCTTCTCCTTAAGCTCAGCAGGGTGGGCAGGCTCCCCTTTCCTCAGACACAGGTTTCTGACTCAACCCTCATCACTGTCCTTTCTTGGACCATGCCCCGGAATGACCCTTCACTGCCAAACGCTTCTCCCCGAAAGGAGAAAAAAAAAGCTCTGCATTTGGAGTGGACCCCCTTTCCCCTTCGCCGTCCTAAACTCGATCTTCAGAGTGTTGGAGACCAATTAGCGGAGCCTCGAAACAGCCGCTGCCAGCCTGTAAGCCTGCCTTTAATCCCTCTGACTTCGAGCACCAGTCTCGCTGCTCCCCGCCCCCTTCTCTAATGGACCCCCTGGCATGTCCTGCAGGAGTGCATGGAGGATGCCCTCTTCTGGGAAGGAGACACTCGCTTCCTATCGGGGAAAGGCGATATGGCCTTCAGGTGTGGGTCCTGCCCCGTACCACAGCGCCATCACTCCTTCAGACCTGGGGGAGGGAGAGGGAGGCCAAGGGCGTTGGTGCAGGAGTGGTTCTTGTGAACGTAGAACATGAATTCTGGGGAATACCGAACATAGTTGAGGATATTTCTTCTGACCCAGGCTGTGTCCCTATATGTCTGATCTCAGGGATGGACTTCGGGCCACCGAATTGACACTCCCAACTCCATCCAATACTTAATTCTGTTTCCCCATACAGTCTCCCTCCTAACTTAGAAAAATCCATAGGTCAATGGGAGATGAGATCCTGAAAGGTGCCAAGAGAGATCTCTTAGTCTGGATCAGGCTAGTTAAAGGGAGATAAAGATAAGGTAGTAGTGGGGTGGGGACTTGGAGATAAAGACAGAGTAAGGATACATAGATGAAATCCGATAGGCCCCCTGACATATTGGAGGAGAGAGAGGGACCCATTCCCCACGTACACTTTTTTTTTAAGTCTGTTTCCATTGTGAAGAAGTTCTGAGATCACATCATGAGTTTGGGAGGAGAGGAGAGTTCCTTTCAAACCTAGATTCAGGATGAGGGGTGGAGGTGGGAGAAGAGAGTGTGTGTGGGTTAGGCAGGGTGAGTAAGGATTAACTCTAATGAAGAGCCATGGGGTGATGGAATAGAAGTCTTAGGTGGAAGGCAACGTGTTATGCAGACTCCCAGGATCCCAAGCTTTGTCTACCCCCAAAGGAAAAGGTTACCCCCTACCCCAATATATGTCATGTCAAAGGCAGAGGACAAACCCAGAAGCTAGATTGGGGGGGGGGGCTCCTTTTCCTGCCTAGCACTGAAGGGTGGAGAGTTAGTGGAAATCCTTGCTTCATGTGTCAGGCCCCTGACTGAGCAATGGGAGAACCACTAAGAGGGAAGGAAGAAGAGGGGAGGGTGGGTAGGCACTTAGAGGAGCTGGGTCCGGAGAATAATGTGTGGTTTGGTCATGGCTGCAGTAACACCTTCATCTGGGAGCCCCTTCAATCACCCCAGAGAGACACTGTCAGTGTTATTAATGGCAGCTCCAGTGACTTGCGGCTCCAAGCTTCTTTGGAATAAAACACATAAACAAGAAGATAGGGGTGTTTGCTCTGGGATGATTCCCCTTTCCCCGCCTCCTTCCCATCTTTCACAGGGTAACACCCCTATCTCTAAGGAAGTGGATAGAAGGCGGCCTCCCTCCCAGGCTTAGTATTCTCTCTGGGGGTAAGCCTGTCGGACTTGGAGGCTTGGTGTGTTGACTGGTATCCCTGTTGTCTTTTAAACAAGGATCTCAAAGGAAGTACTCTGCCTCTGCTTCCCAAAAAGGTGATGACTGGTCCAGGCTGGGGGTGGGAGGGAGGGTACTTGTGAAAAATGCTGGGTAAAGAAGCCCAAGGGATGACCCTGCTTCCCATCCATTTCCTAACACTTGCCCCACCTCAAATGCAGAAGGCATTGAGTGCCAGAACAAAAGTTCAATGACAACTGGTGCCTACTGCAGATGTCTTACAAATTCTCTGGGTTCGGTTTCCAGTGCCTTTCCTGACCCCTGCTCTTTCCTCCCCAGTGCTAGTCACGACAAAGGGCTAAGATCACTGTAAATGGGAGTGGTACCAATGCCCCCTCCGCTCCCCAAGAGGAAAGAGAAGTCAGAGCACAGTCTCTAGCAAGCTGCTGGGTTTTCCTGAACCTCCAAGGTTCCCTTCTTCCCAGGCCTTGCTAAGTGTGTCCCTGGAAGGCCTGCAACAGCCCCCTGAAGCCAAACTCCCAGCCTCTTCGGAAAAGGGTTTCTTTTGTTCTCTTCTTCTTCCCTTTCCCCCAGGGGTCAAGGTCTCTTTTGGAGTCCTCCACTTCCCCTGCAGGCCAACCAGATTAGCCCCCTGCCCCTGCAGTCACTCAAAGTCCCCTCTCTGGGGAAACTAGAGAGAATGTCTTGCCCAGCCTCCATCCTTAAATACTGCCTCAAACCCCTTTGTGCCCAGAAGGGCCAAGGACAACCTATGGATGGAGGAAGGGGAAGGGAACAAGCCCAAACTCACTGCTGGAAATTAATATTCAATTACCGAAGCTCTGGAGAAAGCCAAGGAATCAGTGTGGGCCCCGGGCTGATAAGTAGCTTGCCTCCAGCTTGGGAACAGCTGCCTGCTGAGAGATAAGAAGGCTTCCTAAGTCTGTTTTTCCCCCCTCCCCTGCCTATTTTCTCTTCCCACTTGCACAATTCACATCTGTAGCTGAAATCTAGTATCTTCTTTATTGGGTGCTACAATCTGAAATGGGGAGAGCTGAAATAAGCAAGAGGCCTTGACCCCCCTCCTGCCCCATGATGGCCCCCTCTCCTCATTCCAGCCCTCATTTAACATCTAGGCAAAGGCTCCAGAGTTCCTGTACCCCTTTCTAGGCAGACCCATGGTTATGGAATCCTCTATGGAAAGGAGGAGAGATAAAGAAGAGGGAGGGAGAGGGGAAGATGGGAAGGACATTTATATCTCACACAGGCTTGGGGCTGACAGAACCAGTTAATGGATCTTACATCCTTGATAGGAAAAGCTGGAAAGTGACTTGAGGGGCACTGAGAAGCCTCCTCTCCCTACCCCCCACTTCCACTCCAAACTGCCCTCCCCAGACAGTTTATCATTAGTGCTGCCTAACCTTTTCCTATTACAGCTTATTCCCCTTGGGCTCAGCATGGCCACCCCCATGTCCCTCTGTTACACTGCATATCTTCCTCGCCTCCCCTGCTCCCTGCCTCCCCCAGCACACTAAGTCCTTCATATTCTAGGGTAGCTGAATCCCTTTGGAGCAGAGGAGGCAGGGGCTGAGATAAGCTCATATTCCTTAAGGGACTAGGAAGGTAGTGGGGGCTATTAAAAATTTTCACTAGGTCAACCAGGAACTAGACAAAAGAAAATTGTTGTCCACTCCCCATACCCTCCCAAGCCAAAGGTACCCTGGATGGTAGGAAGGCTGGAAACCATGGTGCACAAGGATCAGATAAAGGAGAATGAGGTGGGAATAGTTAGCCTGGACTCTACACTCCCTCCATGATTACTGTCTTTCAATCATTTGCTGCACATGTCATGTAGAAGCGGTATGAGATTTGTTCTATTTGGCCCCAGAGAGCAGAGCTGGTAGTAGCAGCAGCAGGAAGAAGGATGCAGGTTTCTACTCAATATGAGTGGTTTTTAAAAACCTGCTATGCACAAAATGGAATAGGCTGCCTGAGGAGCTAGTGATCTCCTCAGCACTAGTTAGTGTTCAAGCAGACTGGGGGACTCCCCTAATAGAAGAGGGTCAAAGGAATTTCTACATGAGATGGAAAGACCTTCTTGGTGAGCTCTAAGACACGGAGGGAGTACAATCAGTCAATAAACATTTATTAAGCATAAACTAGTGGAAAAAGTATTGACTCTGGAATTAGAGAACCTGGGTTCAAATACTGCCTCTGACTCATACAACCTGGATGACCATGGAGGTCTCAGATTGCTCATGTAAAATGAGGAGATTGGGGGCAGCTAGGTGGCACAGTGGATAGAGCACCGACCCTGGATTCAGGAGGACCTGAGTTCAAATCAGGCTTCAGACCTATAACACTTACTAGCTATATGACCCTAGCCAAGTCACTTAACCCCATTGCCTAGCCAAAAAAAAAAAAAAGAAAGAATAATAGGTAGGATGGAGGCTGGCTGCCTAGCCACCCATAGTCACTGCCCTCCAGAAGCTTGTGATTTCTACATAGCTTCACAGCCTTCCTACCCAGTTGCTCTCTGCAGCAAAAGTCCATCCTTCACATCTATACTACACTGGTAACGGGGCTATAGGCAGCTAGCTGGTGCAGAAGATTGAGTGCTAGGCCTGCTGAGTTCCAATCTGACCTCAGATACTTACTAGCTGTGTGACCCTGGGCAAGTCCCTTAATCCTGTTTACCTCAGTTTCCTCATCTGTAAAATAAGCTAAAGAAGGAAATAGCCAACCACTCCAGTGTCTCTGCCAAGAAAAAACCCCTAATGGGGTCATGAAGGGTTGGACATGACTCAAGCAACCGAAGAACAATGTGGCTATGACTTGAGGGACCTAATAGCGAGTTTGGAAGCATATTTTTTAAAACCTCCTTCTTAGTTCAACTGAAGATACTAAAAGAGAAAAAAAAACACCATTTCTCAAGTCTAAAATCCTTTCTAGATTTAGCTGAAAAGTGGAAATTTTATCAGTACTTAATCAAATGTCTCAGGAAACAACACCCTTCCCTAAAATCCTTCTCCCCTCATCCTCCTCTTAGAACTAACTTCTTCCTTTGAGGAAAGTGTATAAAGATCAAGAAGGAAAGCAAAACTTCTGGATAATGGACTGAAGGATACACAACCAGACTTGGAGAAAGACTTCATGTCTGGTTAAGATCATCACTTTCCATGGTGAGAAATACGTGTCCCCCTCCCCTCCACTTCTTCTTAGCCCAGTGGACCCAAGCCCACCTTCATCATGTGTGCATGCATCTCTAGCCACTCAGGCCAGGCTGTCATTCATACTGGAAATGCCTGGGGGAGCTGTAGTGTTTGGAACGTGGTATCCAGCCCAATGGTCAGATACCAAGTGACAAAACCATTGGCAGAGGAGATGATTCCTTCAACCTGGTCTTCAGTGAATGTTCCCCGGGGTCATATTTGTAGATTTAGATAGAACCAGCTATTATTGAGAAAGTTCCCACTGGAACACACCACTAGCTCTTATAGCCTAAGCAACTGATCTTTGGCAAGGAAGATGCCACCAATCACTTTGCCCACGGACACAGCTCTGTTGGCAAGGCAATCATCAACCTAGTTCTGGATAGAATTCAGAAGCTTGATGATCAGTGCACAGGGTCTTCAATGCATCTTGGTTTTCCACAGCTTTGGTGGCAGGCCTGGCTCTGGTTTCACCTCTTTGCTGATGGCATGTCTATCTGTTGATTGTGGCAAGAAGTCCAAGCAGGAATTCTTCATTTACCTGGCCCTTCAGGTTTCCACAGCTGTAGTTGAGCCTGTGACAATTAAGAAAGTTCCAAGAGACATAGTTTCTAGGTAATTTAATTATTTTATTAATAATGCCTGCATTTTAATAAAAGGATGCCGTAGACCATCAGACCCTTCATGGGGTAGGCTCACAGTTTATATGTCCTTCAAACAGTTGGTTTTCCTGAGGGTGGCAATCAACTCTGATTGATTAACAATTGATGAGATAATCAATATTATGATGAGAGGGTGGGCTGTATTATAATGAGGGTCTTGGGGTAAGTTACCTGGGTCACCCAAATCTTGGTCAAACAGACTTAACAGTTTCCATATCATTTGTATGACAAAAGGGAGAATCTATATTTTCCTAGACCTGCCTGAGCAAAGTTAATGAGCAGGAATGCACCCATTAGCCCAAACTTAGAATTACTTTTACTCTCTGATTAGAGATTGGCCTGAGTAAATCTCTGCTTAAGATTTCCCATACTGGTTGATTTCTGGATGAGGAAGTAAAAAAGGAGAAATAATCATTTCTCACAAGCCCTACACCTTCATTCTGACCACTCATATCACCCTGGATTGTGCCTTTATGGTAGACAATGAGGCTATTTATGATATCTGTCAAATGTCCAACCTAGACTAAACTGAATTGCCTTATTAGCCAAATTGTGTCCCCCATTACTCTCTGATTTGATGGTGGCCAGAATGTTGATCCAACAGAATTTCAGACCAGCCTAGTTCCCTATCCCCTTATCCACTTTCCTCTGGCCACATGCCCCCATCATATCTGCTGAGAAGCCCAACCATGAGCAGCTAACTATAGGAAAGATCACCAATGCTTGCTTTGAACCTGCCAACCAGATGGTGAAGTGTGACCCTCAGCATGGTAAATACATGGCTTGCTTGCTGTTATACTGTGGTGATGTAGTTCCCAAAGATGTCAATGCAGCCATCGTCAGCATCAAGACAAACTATAGCATCCAGTTTGTGTTTGGTGTCCAACCATTTCCAGGCTGGCATAAATTACCAACCTCTCACTGTGGTTCCTGGTGTTGACCTGGCCAAGGTACAATGGGCTGTGTGCATGTTGAGCAACACCAGAGCAGC